CTGGGCTTTGGTGTAAATACATTATAAAAAAAATTGGTACATAACTAAATAGATTTAATTGTTCGTCAAAGAAAGATAATTTAAGAATAATATCAACGATTCTAAATTAACTATTTAGAATGGTGGATTGGAAAATAATTTTATTTATTTATGTTACAATTTTCTAAACGTGTGAGAACACATTAACAYATTGGAGGAACAATAAATCTTATAAAGTTTTAAAAGTGATCAAAAATTTTCAAAATTTTCAAAATTCAAACAAAATTTTTACAACTTATAATAATTAAATTAAGTTGAAAATTAAAGATAATATAAAAATTGTAAACATTTTAATATTTTATTCTAAATTTGTTTCTATTCACCACATTGTATGGTACCCTGTTGACATTAAAAAATAGATAATTAATAAACATAAATATGTAATACAAATGTATGGGAAAGAAAGTATTAATTTGATAAACTCAACGTAGGTAGCTGAGAATATTATATTATTAATTTGTTACATGATCTTCTTGTTTTGTATTTTAGGGCACATTTTATTAGTATTCTAGTCTTTAATTGTTTGCGGTCACAAAGTTGTAGATTAATCTACAATTGTGGTTATTCATCAGTTTATACCTAAATTGTAATCATCAGATAATTACCATTCGAGCCCTAAATTCTAACACTGTATTAGATATCAATGATTACATATGTGTARTTCTTTTTTATGAAAAAAAAATATTAATTTAATTTTTTTTAAATATGCCATAATTCCGAAAAAATAGGGGTTTGCTAATAATTGATAACTTAGTTGCCAATAAAAAGTAGACTTATAATTTATAAACCTGTTTTAGACATATTAATAAAAAACATGAGTTATAAGCAAGAAAACCCTAAGATAATGTATACAATTATATTAGGATGACAGATATACTTGGTTGAATAAAAATAAAACAATGTTTTTTAAGAAATATACATATCAAATATAATTTGTGAAATACAAATATTTATCCATATTTAATATACTATAAAAAATAATACATTCTACTCAATGATGAAATATCAATAAAGTATACAATACTAAATACCAAATTTTTAAACAGTAAGTAATAATAAAAAAAAAATAATATTGTTGAAAGTTAATKGTGTTTGAAAATTTTCTTTTAGCTCAAGATACTGTCCAGAGTGCTGGTTAATTTCCCCATCAAAGTATTCTACACAAGACTAAACAATGTGATCCTGGCCAATCTTTTCTCTTAACTCAATGGTAGTTCTAGGTTTAGAATTCTGCAGAGAAAAAATTATTTATGTTAAAAGTATTTCTACAATAAAATTGTCTTTTTTTTTTCAATGTGTATTTAAATATACAATTCATAAATAAACTATCTATTTTAGAGTTAAATAACTATTGGGTTGGGAATTCAGATCAATTTTATATTAGGTATAGGTATAAGTTGATATTTTTAAAATGGAAACAGCAATAAACATTCATTTATTACATGTTGGTACAGTAATTAACAGTCAATTTACTTAAACGTTTTGAAAATAAAAGTTGTGTTGTACACAAACATATATATATATATATATATTTATTTATTTATTAGTGAGTGAACAATCTTCTTTAGCATGGAAATCAAATTTCCAAAAATATTTGATTGCTGAAATACAACATTCCTTCTTAGCTGCTTTTTTTGTTGACCCTATAAAATATAAATTTATAGTAGAAATTATTTTTAGTGAATATAAACAATATTTATAATAATGTTTTTTTTTTATTTATTAGTGAAGATATCTCAACGCCTAAGCTATTGACCAATAATTCTATTTATTTATGTTTTATATAATAGTGATTAGATAAAAAAAATCATATATCATATTATTAGAGTTTACATGAAATGGAATTTTGAAATGTTCATTCAGAAATAAGTTCAACAAGTATCTAGAGCAGCGGTTCTCAACCTTTTTATAGTCACGTACCACCTACACAATTTGAAAATTTTTACGTACCACTAGACAATTTTTTCGCTTATTAATAATGTATACGTTTATGTTATATGTAAAGAATTTTGTTAATAAATTAATTTTTTATAAAGGTAGATTTTCTTCACGTACCACTAGTGGTACACATACCACAGGTTGAGAACCGCTGATCTAGAGCAATATAATAAAGTTTCAATAATATTACCTAGTCCAAAAAATAGAAAATTGTCTATTTCATATTTCACTCGAAAAATTGATGGCCTTTTTGAAAAATGAATAATTTCGATTAATTTCATACCGGGCTTCATATGATTTATTAGCTGTATTGGATTGTAGTTACTTGGATTGTCAGGAAACTTTTTCATAGCACCTATCTAAAATAAAAAAAAACTTAAGTAATAAAATTATAAAATGGTGTGATGTACCTGTGTATAAAAACTAAAATTAAAAGTTAATTCATAAGTTATGAGTRTTTTTACCATTGTAAATTAATAGTATATCTTAATATACTTATAACTCACTTTAAAATTAATATATAATAAAAAGCCTCTGTGATAACATAGATAATAATGTTACCTTAATTCTTAGAAGAGGTCTATTCACTCTAAATTTTGCACAAACGGAATTAGAATTAAATTGGAGCTGCTGAGTGTAAAATTTGCTATGTTACACACTAGTAAGGCGGAGACAACACATGTGGGTGTGGTGATCTCTTAAAAATAAATTTTAAACAGTAAATAAATGATTATTCACCTTTGGCATTGATGACGATTTTATGGCATTAAATTGTTCTTGTAAATTAATAGCTTTTGAAGCAGGCTGCAGTTTCCATTGAAGAAATAAGTTATGCATAGCTAATGAAGCGAAATGTGGCCATGGGAAATCCTCCTGTGGGTATCTTTTAGGTTTAGAAATCATACCAATTTCTCCACCTTCCATCTCTGTTTTCATGGAAGATTTTTTTTTCTTTTCTATTTAAATATATGACATTATATATTTATATACATACTATATTAAGCAATATTAAAAGTTAATTAATTCAACACTTATAACCTACCAGATTGCTCACTTATTTTTTTGGCCAACATAATGCGCAACAAATTTTCACATGCCTTTTGTTTAGCTTGAGTCTTGGAAGTGTGATTTGCAGTATACTTATGACCATCAATCTATTTTTTTTTTAAAGTATACATTATTAATTATTATGATATCAAATCAAAAAATAAAGTTTTCTAATTCATTTATAACTCAACATTTATCTTACCTCAATTGTAGCAGTGTAACCCAACACATTATTATTATGTTTGTGCTCTTGTAATTGAATAGGCACATCTTTAAACAACTCAGAAAAGATCATTAATGGAGTTTTGGGGGATACTAAACGACGCATTTGAGCATTCAGGTGCTTTTTCCATTCTTTCTTCTTAATTTCTAACATAAAAATAAATTTTATAAATTAAAAAAATTAATTAATAAAAATGACAGTTAACTTAATTTAAAAAGAATTGCATACTTTGTTTGATGGGAAATTTTGTATCTGATTTCTTGCTAATTGATTTTTCTTCAAGCTCTATTTGCTCATTCTATATAGAGTATAGACAATAAAACAACATAAGTAATGTTTATAAACGTGGTGAAGAAGTATTTTCAGTTAGCACAAGACACATATACTTTAGCAGATAATACATCAAAATAATTTAGCATAAGTAATAATAATAATAATAATTATTATTATTATTATAAGAGGACAGTGTTTGATCTGCCATGGTTTATGTAGTTGCCAAAAAAGCTAAGACACAATCCATCAAAAGTGATGATAAAATATCACTGACTTGGACTTTAAATAAACACATTAATTGTGTATATATAGAATCCTATTTGTCAGATGAAATAATAAATACCATCAAATTAATGATAGGGTTTACAAGTTACTAATCGCAATAAATTGAAAATATAAAAATATGATTAATTAGTTAAATTAATAATCAAATGAAACTAAAAAATACTCAAATTATTTTTTCTTTTCAATATTTAATTTAATTATTAATATTAGGTTATCATAAGGGAATTATATATTGATAATTGATATAAAATTTAAAAAAGTATTGGTAACAAGTAATAGCTTCAATCATACTGAATTTTCATCACYGCAATAAATTTTAAGTTTAGCTGTTTCATGTTTAGACAAGACACACCAGGAATTATATTTTCAATCTATAATCCAAAAATGATATGGATCGATCAAATCTGCACTAAGACTCTGAAATAGATGTGCTGTAATTTTAAAATTTGTGAGAAATTTAAATTTATCAGAATATATAGACGTGTTTTTTTACAATGTTATAGTAATTAGTTTTTAAATCTATACAAATATTAATGGTTTCATGTCATATTAAATATTACATATTTCATAAACCTTTCATTTTAAATACATAAAAGTAATTACTAATTAGTATTCACTATAAAAAATTAATATCGCTCAAGGCAATGGTAAATAAATTTGTATATTTTAAGACTTGTGGTGTTAGAGTTTTGATGTATATAATATATATAAATATAAATATGARTTTGTGATCATTGCAATGGTTAAATGTAAAAACATAGCTGTATACCTTAACATCGTTAACTGGATAAGTTTGAGTAACCGAGATTGTCAATATTTGAGTTTCAACAACTGGTTTGGGACATGTTGATAGTAATGGTACATCTTGCAAAGGCATGGGTTGTTGTTGAACTTGATTTTCCATTTCACTAGTTGTTTTCTAAAAATAAAAGCAAATATATTTTTTGTATTAGATACAATAAAATAAATAATATAAATATATTATTATTACAACCATTTTCGTGGGAAGAAAACAAATAGCTAAATAACTAATTAAGGGGATATCCAATCATATGTAAAAGTATAGTAATGTAGCAAAAAGTGAGAAAGCAATGAGTGGCTTTAGGCGGTCGGAAATATTTTCCCAAAACAGCTTTAGAATATTGTTTATTTTACTAGTAATCGGACGGCACATTTTTTCTTTCAATTATTAAAGGTTTAAAATTATTTAAAATTGAATACTGTTTTTTTTTTCTTTTAAACATTTATAATAGTTTAGATTTTAGTAGGAAAAAAATCTTTGATCCATCACAAATCAATTAAATTATATCTTTTTTTTCTGAATCAAAATAAATATCAAATAAATAATGATAATAACAATAAAACTAGTTTTAAAAGCTTACTGGTGTAATACAATTTGCCACATTATTCATTGTTTGCTGCTTCTGCTACTGATATTGTTGTTTAAAAATTTCAACCTTTCTGATATTAGACTGATTACCGTCACTACCGCCACCTAAAAAATAACGATAATAATATTAATCATTAATAGAAAGTATTAAAATTGAATTAAATTATCATTATTAGGCATTTATTGCAAATTACAACAAGTCTATTAACCAATTTATGTACAAATTATAGAAAAATATAAGTGTTATCAACAATTTATATGGTACCAGWACTTATTTTACAAAGATCTTATTAAACAATTTTCTTATTTTACTAAATTATCATGATACATAAGTACATAACCCTCCACTATAGCAGTGGTTGCTAATTTTGCACTAGCCATTCACCTTTCTACCTAATCATTTTAGATTCTTTAAGAGAACAATTTTTACACTAAATTATACAGAGAAAATAAACCCATCATAATTCTATTATTAATTTTAACGACTGAATGATCTTTATACAATATTTATTAAATTTACAATTTTTCTTATTATACGTGATAATATTAGTTTCAGTATATTATAATTGCTGTAATGTTTTTTTCCATACCTACTTGTATTATTTAATGACCTAAATTAATCATAGAAATAAATCTTAATTAATTAAGTCAAAATTATATTAATTACATATTTACATTTCTAAACACAATGAAAATAATTTATGAATATTCAAGATTGAAAAATGAACAAGAATAATCACATAGTATGACAATTTTTATAAAAGAATTCAAATATATTATTTGAATACAAAATGTAGGTAACATTAATTTATTATAACGACTAACTATAGGTGAGTTTGTTGGAAATACCAAAAATACAATATCTAGTAGTTTTTACTTCAAAATATTTACGTTATAATTGATTGATGTTTAACCTAATAATGCAGCATATTAATATGTGCTCACAGGGTAGGCCTTTTTAATTGTATGAGAATTTGAAGACAAACAACCGTCATTCATTTAAGCTTTAAAATATTTAAAAAAAAGCATTTATAATTCATTGCAATTTTTAGGTAAGTACCTAAATAAAATATATTGAAATAAATAAGTAAAAATTATTACTTATCTACCATTTAAAAAAAAATTTCAGTTTAAAACTGGATCAAATAAGGATAAAGTTCTTACATAATATTTACTGCTCAACAATAAGGTAAGTACCGCCTACTTATAAGAAATTATAAATTATTAAAAGTTAACTTTAAAAAATGTATTTATTTATTCAATTTAGTTTGGAATAAGAAAATTAAATTAAGTTTATGAATTAAGAAGATAAATTTGGATAAATTCATGTTTTTTTTTATACAATATTTAGATACAAGTTATTTTAACGTAGGAAATCAAAATTAAATTACTTCAGATTTTAGCACAAGAGTTGAGGTTCATACAATATATTCAATTATTATTTAATGTATGAACAAACAGGCCATGGAAATATTAAATTTTCGGTARTTTTGGACTAGATACAACAATATTGCAGACGGTAGTGGTCACAAGACGACAAAAAAAAATCAGTTTTGTTGTAGGTAGGTTAGATAAGATCACAACACTCGGAGTCCTACAATAAAGGAGCGTGTCTGTCCGTAGTGTAGCACAATAAATAAATAAATAACAAAAATCGATTTTCATTACTTGAACTTCTGGTGTTGAAAATGACCGATATACTCGCATTCGACGCATTCAGCAACAGCACTCAGCAGGCACACTGCAATTATTGCAATACTGTCGGTTGGGTGGTTAGGTCACGGTGGGACACCCACGCTCCGGCCCGGGTTAACAGACTACAACGCCATGGCGGCCGTCGTCGAAACCACCGCTATAGATATGAATGGTTGCACGAYGGTTACAATTTTTTGGCCGTACAATCAATGTTTTCATCAAGAACCTAATGATTGCAATTAGCTAGCTTAGCGGAATTTGTAATCTACCGTGAACGTCACT